TAGATAAGCTGATGGCTTGTGCTTACGAGTTTGCACTTCACCACGTTGCAGTGGAGTCGCATAAGCCCTGTCGATATCCCTCTGCACGGCCATGTGATCATCCGATGTCCTGATATCATACCAAATTTTGACATCATCTGCAAATAGTAGAAAATTTGACTGCAATACACTGGCAAGATCGTTACCGAATGTTAGGAATAAACGTGGCCCCAGTACCGATCTCTGGGGCACGCCATGCTGGAGGTCAGTTGAATCTGAAATGGAGCTGCGGACCCTCGCATTCAGCTGACATTATGCGTGGAAGTTGCCTGTCCAACTGAGTATGGGGTCAACGATTCCACAGCTTCGAAGCTTATGAAGGAGAATACGGTGGTCCAAACGATCGAACGCTTTCGAGAAGTCCAGGTAGAAAACGTCGACTCCCACTGTGGCATCGGCTGACTCTATCCATCTTGCTCGAGCTAGCAGCAATTTTGTAATGCATGATCGATTTCGGCGGAATGCGTGTTATTGTGACCCAGTTGCTCTCAAGACATCCTAATTCTCTCAAGATATCCCAAAACACTGTACTACTATGACGCGTTTCGATGTTCTTACACCTCATCAGATACTTCACAGGCATCGAACTCGGGACCATTGTGATGTTAGTTGTGACCGCTACCCCTAAGCCAGCATGTGTTCACTATGAACAGCTGCCGCGTACTCACAATATTAAAGAAGATAACGCTGCTATTAGCAAATGAATCACGTCGACGAGGCGTATTCACTCCTCGAGTCTTCCAGTCCACACCAATTTCGATAGGTTTAGCAGAAGGTGACACGACGCATTTCTTCGCCAAAGGAGCTGGGATAATTGGGGTTGGAGCCTCCTGCTTTACCAGCTACACCTTCATGAATTTACTCCTTACTGTCTTTGCAGGGGCCTGACGGACTTTCTTGGACCTCTTCTTCCTGCTTCAGTGAACACAAGGGCCATTACTTCAATCACGCTTTGTACGGCGTCCAGTACACCATCACAAGCCTCGTCAAGGTATTCTGAGTAGCTAGAGCCTTCGACATGGTAGCGTATTTTTACCGACATAAGATGAGATTAGTTGTCTCTTGTTCCAATATGCCGGCATCAATGGAGACTCCAAGTTTCTTTATCAGTTACCCTACTTAACGGTCAAGAGAAATGAGGAAAGAAAACATTTAATGGTTACGAAGTCCGACGTTGCACGATACCTCATTCATGACATCAAGACGTTCAGGCTGACAGCTACAGCATTCAGCACAACTGATGAGAAGGATATCGCTAGTCGATAGCAATGCGTACTAGTCAGAGCTCAAACCGGTACAGGTCTCGTGGTACCAGCCGTTGCATACATAGCACTGCATGCCCCCAGACTTATCCGCCACAGGCTTTGAGCAAATCATACTGCCACTGTCAGTAATCGACTCGCTGTTCAATGCAGCCGAAGACACATTAGCGCCGGCATTCTGTGAATCCGACTTGAGGATGGCAAGAACAGTGTGAGACAAAAAGCAAAAACGTGAAACCTGCGAGCTCTTACATACAGGGTAGTCAACAGAAACGGTTAGGTGTTAACGTAAGTTTCAAAACGGATTAGAAAACACAACAGTACCAGAGTAATAGCCAGAGGCTGACTAGGAAATAACATGACCGACGTTTGGTAAGTATTCGAGGACGGATACGATGTAGTTCAGGGAAAACGACGATTTACAATTATTTGAATAAAGCGAAGTTAACAAGTCAGCTTGTTTGCACGACAGGCTTGTAAACGCTGTTCGAAACTACCTTGGAAAGTGAAACCTCAGAAAGACAGCTCGCTCAAAAATTTCACTTTACCGACATGGAGGAAGAGTTACCTTAAGGACCATTTTGAGAGATCAATAGAGGAATATAATTTCTTTCATGAGGAATTTGAAAGCGTTATGGATGCGATTGACTGAGAAAATTTATGGTTTGGTGAATGTTAAGATGATGGCTGTCAAACGAAGTGCCGGATGCTTGTAGTATAGAAGTAGTTGGAGAGCGCAAAGAGCACTCTCTTGAGTGAGAGTAAAAAGAATGGTATGCGTGTGGATTTCAGTGAAAACCCTGCTGAATTTTCAGTAAGATGGTCCGGTCAGTACCTGCATTTCTTAAGCTTTACACGAATGAGGTACAAGTGGACACTTGTGAAAACCTTATTTAGTCGTGCCAGACGACTATGCTCGGCAGACTGTCTAACTGATGGGTTGGAGCGAATTACAGCCACACTGATGTCAAACGGTTACTCTCGAAGTTTTATAGGGAAGCACAGCCAGCTACGAAGACAAAAGGACTTGGTACAGGAGGCAGGGACGAAGAAAGTTTCTATCGAATTACCTTTCAAGAGTGATACCCCCACGTTAAGGACCACTAAGCGCCTGATCGCTGCTGCTTATGGGACGTACTATGCTGCTCAGGTCGTCAACCTCAACAGAACTAGCAAGTTGTCAGTACCTCATCCGAAGGAATCTCTGCCACTTGGCGCCACTTCTAATTGTGTGCACCAATTTACAGGTAACTGAGGAGCCAGTTACATTGGCAGGACCGATAGAGCATGGTCTTCCCGGATGAAGGAACAAGTAACGAACAGCTTTTCCCACCCAAGTCCTGTCGTTGCGTAAGTCGCCGACATCCTCCGTAGGTAAACACCTATTGCTTACTGGTCACCAGATACGGTTTGATACCACGTTCAAACGGTTGCTGCAACACTCTAATCCGCGATTTCTTTGTTTAGCTGAGGCTATAGCGATTAGCCGAATGTAGCGTTTGCGGTGCGTGCACAAACAGTCATTCGTCAGTCTCAGGCTTCCTTGGACATAAGGACCGAATGGTTTTGGTCCATCTTGCACCCCAAGTTTGTTTCTACTTTTTACGTCACATCCACCATTTGCTATTGTTTCTTTTCGGTTGTTTTTATTGGTACTGAAGAGACAACCCAAAGTGCTTGCATCTACTAAATGTTGTCTTCTTGCTGTACTTTTCAAATTTCGGAAGGGAATTAATTGCTTTCATTTTCAGTAACAAATGCAGCGATGACGCGCGCTAGACAGTCTTGCGGTGGTAGATTTATTGGATATCGCTAGGAAATCTGCTTCGACTAAATGTAAGTATAGCAATGCGTGTGAATAATTGTGGCCAGATTGTCCAGAGCAAGAAGAGCTCAAGAATAGTGCGATCACACAGGAGGTAGCAAACACACGGAGGAAGTCAGAGACTTACCGGTTCTGCTCTTATAATTGGTTCCGATGTCACCTACGAATTTTGATGTGTAGCGTTAGCTGACCCCGATTGGTTTAGTTTCCTATAATGGGGGTAGGGGCAAAATTTTTCTTCGGTCGATCGCCTGTGCAGCACTATAGCTTCCGTGCGTAGCCAATTTCAGCCGATAGGATGAACCCAGAATCCTCCTTGATCTTTCAGCACGTGGACTTGTTCATGACCTGGCGTGCACCTTTCATCTCCACCATGCAGTTTGTATGTGTCCCAAACTATTCAATGAACACTGAGAACCCTACCCCATTGCAAGTGCCACCATTGGTGATCTTTAAGCGAACGACGCCTTGTCATAATCAGCGTCACCATTTGACCACTTACTGTGGACAAGTTGATGTTCTCGTGCGTCCCTCATTTAGAGTTAGCCGGCGCCCGTCGCACATGGTAATTGAACCCGCTGTCTGGAATCAGCCTTTCCACTAGTTGCTTGGCTGCTTGGCTGCACTACACACTACACTAAGGCGGATGGAGACAACTAGACCACCGTCCTTGATTGAGAGGAACAAGGCAATACCGAGACGCGTTTGCTATAGTGACCACTGCTTGCTTGATTCGGGCTATATTAGTCTTGCTACAGTGTGAATTGAATGTCGTCTAGTCGCCTTATTTCCCCTTCTTTTTAACAAATCGCTGAGTTCTTGCTTAACAAATGGACCGTGTCCAGTTTTAGCTTACTAAAAGTCTAGTTTGTAGTGAAGATGGCGTTTATCATTTCATCCAAAAATGTTAAGAGCTAAGGTCATGGATGGTGAGCCCATACTCAGATCATTCAATGTTCGTCGAAACATCAATGATATCTCAACAACAGGATTCCGATGGTATAGAATGACCTCACTGCATAATTACCTCTAACAATTGTAAACGGTATAAGTCATTCTGCGTATGCACTTAGCGAAAAGGACGCGAAAAAAGATCTCAATATTCCATACTTAGCTTGATTCACATAGGAATTTCGGCCACTTAACAGGGCTAGGTGCGTGAGTTTTCCTAGGGGACTACACATAAAACTAGACTGATCTGGGTGGACCCCGTTTTCAAATAGCGAGTTGAGCAGTGTTGTGTTGCAAGTCTTCCGAACAGGATTGTATAGTTAGGTGGCAGAATTCACAAATGTCTACATCTTTCATGCAATGTTGACGCTATAGAATGTGTCAGATACGATACTGACAATAACGGAATTCACACATCGCCACTACGGTCGTCTTGGAAAATCCAGAGAACAATTAGGTTTTTGAAGACTTTCATTGGCTTCGACGCAAAGCAGCTCGAAGAGGCTTCTCGGACCCCATGCTAGAATCGACTTCATCCGGTGGTCTCTAAATATCATTGCTAAAAACAGTGGTTGTAAAATTGCCAAAACAGATGTGAATCGGTAACTTCCTTTGAGATTACCAGTACTAACGTATGCAAAAAACAAGGGTTAGATGAATTCAGTTCTTTTGGTTCCTAGTATACATTGTTCTGAGCGGAGAAGACAGCAGAGCCAGACCGGATGAATGACCGCAGAGGAATGAGCTCCGCGACGAGGCGCTGCACTACGTATTGGTTTTGCGCAAATGCTCCGCTTGACCTACTGCATTGCTTTTTGTGGCATGAGCTTTTAATCGGATTGACTGACTTAGTGCACACGTGACTGCTGTAGTATCGACCCCGCGGCTGCTCGACTGTTTGCAGTGGTTCTGTCATGCGCAGTATGTTGTTTCCAGGTCAAAATGAGATGAAACAAAGAATTGGCGGAGTCGATTATTACGATCGTCTGAAGTATGAAGGCGAATTTCACACGAGAACTGAGAAACACATGATTGATAACGAAGTTAGACGGCGTGTCGGTTGGCACCAGAAGGAGAAGGAATTGCATTTGAATGAACGTAAGGGCAGGTTGGCTAACCTTCTTCAGTGTGAGTCCCATCGTGACAAGGAACTTTGTGACCAGAAGTTGCTGCAGCAGTACGAGAAGCAAAAAACTGCTCTGTTTGAAAGGGCTGAGTCGTTAAAACGGCAAGTGAGAGAAAAAGAGACAGCGTTGGCTGAACAAAAGTACAATGCGAGGTTTGCTGTAAGCACGGAAGAACTTCGCGAGCACATAACACAGGTGCATGCGCGTGCAATTCAGGAGGATAGGAAACGCATTGCCGAAATGATTCAGGCAGATAGAGCCGAACAAGCTAGACAAGAGGCATGGTTTAGTAACACATGCACACACTTTGATGAGCAGCTTCTGAAAGAGGAAGAAAAAGTTAGAGCTTCACAAGCTTTTCGTCGTGCACTTGCCACAGATAATCTGGCTGCCATGCTCAAAAAAGAAGCCGGTAAGAAGCAAGAGAGACAAAATGAAATTGAGGAAGGCCGACAACTTCAGAACGAAGCACAGGAGCAGATGAAAGCTAAGGGAGAACAAGAAAATCATCAACTACAACTAAAGCCTAAGTTGATGTATACAGCCAAAGGAAATATAGAAAAGCTGAAGCAACAGAAGGAGCAAGAAGAGCACATTCGACGATTGATTGATGCATATTGTAACCCACCGCTTTCCACAGTAGATAACTTGTTGGGGACAAAAGAGAAAGAGGCGGAGCTTCGAGAACGTCGACAGTTTCTCGAATATCAAAAAAGGATGACGGCCAGAGAAAAGCGGTATGCTGAATTTTTAGACAAATATTACGGAGAGCTTGAAGCGGAGCAAAGTAGTAGTGAGCGTGACAGAAAGAAGAAAGCAAGTGCCCGCATACTAGAAAATGCTAAAGAAGTGGTTAAGGACCACAGAGCTGCAATAGCTAGAAAGGAGGAGGCGAAGGAGGTAGAACGCAGAAACTTGCTCGAGGAGAGAAAAAAACTGGAACAAACACAACAGGAGTATATGGAAAAATTACGCCAGGAACAGGCCCAGAAGGTTGAAATAAATAGCAAATATTTAGCTGAAGCCCAAAAAGTAAAAGAATACAGGGATAAGCTTTGTGTTCAGTTAAAAAATGAAGAACTTCAACGTGAAAGGGCAGCTATGCTGAAAGCGGAAAATGAATACCAAGCGCGACTCCAGCGAGCGCTGAGTGAGAATCCATTGGGAAAGCAATTGTAAACCTACCAAATTCATCCTGCTAAATCTCTAGTGGTTTAGGCTGAGTTTTTAAACATTACTACGAATCAAGACTAGATAAACTTGTCCTTACGACTAGCAGTGTGTTGGGTGACTTATAAGCGAAGCGGACTTAATCGCATTTTGACGGTGAATAAAACGTAAGTGACCACTATTCTTCTCTTATATCTAACTCATTGTTCTATGACATTTTCTCACACGTCACTGGAGTTACACTTTTGATCTTGATTCGAGGAGCTCTAGCTACTGAAAGCAATCTAGACGGAATATTTCTTGCGCAGCCTATTTTGACCAGAATTTACCAATTTGGGCAAATTTCCGCTATTACAAACTTCCATCTCGGAAGTTGGCCTCATTCGATAAAGGCTGGATCATACCGTGTTACGATGGTTTGTGTGCTTCAGAGATCCAAAGAGTTAAGCTGGGTGGTCCTTTTTTGCACCTTCAGATCCACTCACACCAGATTAGTCAATGGTTAGAGGCCAGACAAACTCAGCCTCCTGGTCCTCCAGGTTGGGGGTTGGATTGAAGGTGGCTCCTTATTCCTTCAAACGGACTCCTTGTAGCCCATCGCTAAACCCGCTGCCTTGCGGTCAGGTTTTTGAACCAAACGCTTTGGTTGAGAACCCTAATCGTCCTCCTACCTAGGCCTGGACAACTTGGCAGTATCGTGCCCACGCAGTATAATGAATTTCTCTTCACACAACTTCTTGATGCTCTGGCCGTCGCAGAGGATAATAAACAGCGCCGTATATGATACATCGAACAGGGTGGATAGGGGTTGGGGGTTAATGCTCAAGCTATCCCATCTTATTCATCCTGTTACGCTTCTTTATCCTCATCGTTCCGTTCCAACTTCACTTTTATCCCCCCAGTTTTGAACCCCCGGTTCTTGGCCCTCCCACAACCTGATCTGCCAGGCTTTTATCTTCTGGTTTCAACTCACACGCAAAGGTGGATTGTCACTCCTGTCTCGTCGACAAGCCCATATCCAACCAAGCGGTCCTCTCAGCTCGTCAGATTCTGTTTTCAGCTCTTGATCCTCCTTCAGATTGGCATGTCACAAAGTACGCACATTGCTGCAGATTGGTCAACAGGTAGCACTTGCCCGAACATTAGAGACCCTCTCCATCGATATCTGCTGCTTATCGGAGACCTACCTACAAGACTCGAGCTCTATGCTCACTCTACGATCCCCTTTTAGGTGACACTAACAGCACTTTCTCATTGCGCCTACCCGGTGACGATACACCTTCGAGCTTCTGCCAAGCTGGTGTAGACATTGCCCTGAGTCCCCGGGCGGCAACTGCTCTGGTTAATTGGATCCTAATCGTTAGCTGGATGTGTACCGTCCGACAGGCTGGCTCGTTCAAAGCTTCGAAGTAGCGCGGGACTAATAGGTGTCTACACTTCCTCGCTGCTGACGCGCCCACAAACTGTAGCGATGATTCGGTAAAAGACTACTTCTACCGCCAACTGAACGAGCTCCTTCGCCACGGACGAAGTACGGACACCGTGGTGCTCGCGGGGGTTCTGAAAGCACAGGCAGGAAAGTTGTCCACCGATGAAAAGCATCTGAGCGGCCAACACGATATGGGTTGTTATAATGATAAGGGTGGATGGTTACTTCATTTGTGTAAAGATGCTCCCTCATTTCTTTCTAGGACAAGCTTCCGACACAGCACCCGCCAGAGGGTGACTTGGCGCTCACGAGCCTTGGACGCAAATCGATCACATTTCAATCAGTTACCGATGGCGAGATTGCGTGCAGAACGGTCGTTCGATTTGGAGCACATATGTGGACATCGACAATGCACTTGTATGTGTTGACATGCGGATGGGTTTTGGCGGACTCCCCCGACGATGCTGTGAACGCATTGACACCGGTCAACTGGCGTCTCGAAATACGCTGACATGCGGGTTGAGTAAGCGCTCACTGGATACAATTGAAGCTCACTGGTGGCATGTTCACCAGACCTTACTAACAACAGGTAAATCTTCATGTAGTAAGTCTAATAGCCAACATGAACACTGGGTCTCTCCGCAGTCTCTGGAACCTATTGATGCTGGCCGGAACATTCCGACTGGAAGCGAACAAAATGAAACACGCAGAAAACTCCGGGCAAAACTCCGTACTAGCCTGAAGAGAGACCGCGAATCCTGATGGTCTCATCGTGCAACTGAGATGGAAATGGCCGCTACCCTTGGTAACCATCGTAAGTCATTTCGGATGATACGGGAAACAGGCAGCAGGAGACCTGGTGTTAGTGAAACTACGCTTGACGAAAGTGGACAGCCTATCCACAACTTGTCGAATCTTTTAGTGCGGTAGGCTCAGCATTTGAACAAGCAATTTAATCGACCGGAATTGTTAGGTTCCTCACCGGCCAGTAAGCGCCCTACTTCCTGGGCCGTCCTTTTGGATCCGCGCTCTCGCCCACAAGTCGAACATAAGATGGGACAATTGAAGTTGAACAAAGCCGCGGGACCAGATGATCTACATCCAGCCCCCTTCACATTCGGGGGCCCTGTTCTTGTGGATGATTTGCACGAATTATTAGTGAAAATGTGGGAGCAGGAAATTATCCCAACGGACTACAGCCGCTCCATTACTGTTCCGACCTTCAAAGGAGGCTCGTGGTCGGAATGCAGGAATAATAATAATGTGTCAGCTGTATGCCGTAACGGCGCTTCGCTGCCGCGCGACCACCACCAGTCGCGCGCGGGCTGAGTATACCGCGAGGACGCCCACTCCTACGCGGATTCGACCCGGTGACCTTATGGTTGCAATCAAACGCGCAGACAACTCGGCCACCGGTCTCGGAATGCAGGAACCATAGAGGAATTAGTGGGATCCCACTGTCTGCAAAGTACTTGCTTCTGTTATCCTTCACAGATTGACTGGCACTCGTGAAAGTCAGATTCGTAAGGAGCAAGCCGGGTTACTTCGGGGTCGTGGCTGCATCGACCACAACTTCACTTTGCGCCAGTTGTTGGAGCACCGTCACACACATTGGCGGCCCACTGTTGTCGTGTACCTCGATACCAAAGGTGTATTCGAATCGGTGGATCGCTGTGCCCTTTGGGACTGTCTAGTCAGGAAAGGAGTGCCCGAGAAATATGTAAATATTATCCCATCATTATACGCGCGTAGCTCAGGCAGTGTGAGGGCTTACGGTCAGCTGTCGTCGCACTTGAATATATCCAGCGGTGTAAGGCGAGAATGCCCATTGTCACCCATCCCCCTCAACTTCGTCATTGAAAAGGACATGGTGATCGCATCCGCAGGGCATGACTAGGAAAGTGTGGAGAACGACTTATTGACTTGGAGTATGCTGATGAAATTGCCATAATCAGTGACAGCTCACCAACGTGTCAAGGTGCACTGGTCAGATTAACACTGACTGTCAGGAGCTTCGGGCTTTGCTTTGCACCCTCGAAGTACAAAGCTTTCCTCGACGTTTGACAGGGATCGCCTCTTGCAATGACCCTTGGTGAGGATCAGCTAAAAGTCTTTTAGAAACTCAACTACCTGGGAAGTTGTATCAGCGCCCGTAAGATCAAAGATAAGACCACGAAGCGTATATCACAAGCTCGAGGTGCTTTTTTAAACCTTCGTTACCTATGGTGCTGGCGCGACATGACTCTTGCCCCGAAGAGTAGAGTGTACAGTGCAGCGGTTCGTTTGACCTTACTGTGTGGTTGCGAAACCTGGCCCCTTAGATCAGCGGACATAAAGAAGCTAGTTACGTACCACCGTTGGTGCCTTCGCAGTCTGGCTCACATATGGTGGGAACACCGCGTGAGCAACGATCGTCTTCGACGTCTTGTTTGTGGCACAGGAAAAGCAACTGAACCGCTCAGCACCATCATCTCACGCACCGGGCTCCGGTGGCTCGGCCACTTGTTGCTCACGCCAACCCACCGGCTCCCGCAACGAGCGTTTTGTACGCGCTGGGAGTGAGGATGAAAGAACAGGAGGGTTGGCCAAGTGATGACTTAGTCGAGAGGAATGAAGACCCTCACTTCGGTGCTGGCCTCGGTTGGAGCTTCACGGCTCCCTGGTTGGGGTCCGAAAGAGGATGGAAACCTTTGGCTAGACATACTTGCTGACATGGCTAGGAGCCGACCTCAGTGGCGTTCCTGCTGTAAGTTTTTGTCCCCCCATCCCATTTGGCCTCCATCCTCCAACCACGATCTCATTTCGTAGCTTAATATAATTTTACATAATAATTTTTTGTTGCCTAGTTGACGGCTAATAACTTTCCGGAATGTTGCCTATCCGTTGCTGGTAGCTCAGCTAGCACACAGTTGTTGCGTTTATTTGCTTTCTTTCTTTTATATGTTGCGAAGCAGTAGCTGAGGTGTTCTACACCTCTAGCCATCGTGTACAGTGATGATGATGATGATGATGATGATGATGATCGATATTGGAGACACTTCAGTGATGATGTGTGTGGGTGTTTGTTACACTGTGATATGCTATTTCCTTGGAACAGAAGATAACACTGAATAAGTTACGTTGGCTTGGGCACGTACTAAGTGTGCCCGGTCACCGATTACTGAAGTGGGCCTTTTTGGCTGACGGAAGTAGATTGGCACAACACTCAAGCTTGACAAAATAGGACTTGGTAGCGGGAAATGAAGTTAATCTTGACTAAGCTGGATGCCACTTCTCCGTTTCACCTTCCAGGCTACAGTCCACGTGATTCGCTTTGTTCTTTGCTCGAGGCATTACTGAGCATTGCGCACATTCAGCACCAGTGGCATGTCTGCTGCCGTCTATTCGGAGTGCCCATTTAAAGTTTGTTTAGTGCTGAGTTATCTGCGGAGTAACGACTGATTAAGACGCGGGGTATTGAAATCCGCAATAAAACTGTCTCGCCGATGCCGCCCTATGTTTGCACGATAGCCAGCTGTTTGTGACAGTAAGTTGTTGACACAATGAGTACGCGTGTTGACCCTGCATACTTGTTTAGGGT